GGCGGCGAACGCGCCCAGGCACGCCTCGTTGAAGCTCTCGCGCCGGTAGGGGGCGGGCGTCTCCAGCGGCCGCTTCTGCCGCTCCACGGTGCTCTGGAAGTCGCGCGTGCGCCGCCTCAGCTTGTCCAGCAGCAGATGGTAGATGGCGTAGATGTGGTCGAAGGAGTTGGCCGCCAAGGAGCAGGCGATGGCCGCCCGGTCCAGCCCGGGCAGCTGCAGCATGTGCTCGATCACGGTGTTGTTCAGTCGCTGGTCCTCCTCCAGGTCGGCGCGCAGGGGCGGCTCCGCGTCGCTCAGCCACTTGTGCTGGCTGATCTGCGCCATGTTCAGCCGCTTCTCCGGGTCCACCACCAGCATGTGTCGGATCAGCCGCTCGCAATCTGCGCAAACCAACACCATAGTCGCTACATCACAGACCCCCCGACAACGTCCCCCCGCCGCCCTGTTACCTTGCGACATAAAGTAGGGGATGCGGAACTTGCCCTCCATCACCACGTTGCGGAGCGCTTGCAGCGTGTGGCCGTCAAAGGGGAGCGAGCCGCACACGAGCACATACAGCACGACGCCCAGACTCCAGATGTCGGCGCGCCGCCCGTCGTACTGCAGCCCGCGGAACAGCTCGGGGGCGGCGTAGGGCGGCGACCCGCAGAACGTGCTCAGCAGGTTGCCCTCGCTGAACTGGTTGCTGAACCCGAAGTCGGCCAGCTGCAACCCACCACCCGTTAAGCCACCAAGCGACTACCGCACACGGCGCGCATCCACCTTAATGTTCAGATTGTGGTCCAGCAGCAGATTTTCGGCCTTGAGGTCGCGATGCACCACCCCCTGCGAGTGGCAGTAGGCGACCGCCGCCACTATCTGGCTGAACACGCGCTTCGCCTCGGGCTCCGCCATTCGCCCCTTGGCCACCAGGTGATCTGCAACACCCAATCACGTTTCAGACGTCGGGCTCGGGGGGCCCCCCAACGCACTCACCGAAAATCTCGCCGTTGCTCGCGTACTCCGTCACCATGTAGATGGTCTGCTTGGTCTCCATCAGCTGGTACAGCTTGGTGATGTGCGGATGGCGCAGCCTCTTGAGGATGGCGGTCTCCCGGAAGATCTTCGTCAGATTCTCCTCGTCCAGCGCCGACTTATCGATGATCTTGATCGCCACCTGCAAACCAGCAGCGAGACCTTTAGGGCTGCGCCCTCAACTCACAGCAGCACAAACAACAACAACAACAACAACAGCAGCAGCAACAGCGACCACAACAAAGAGCGCTTGTCATTGTTGGGCCGCAATGGCGCCGGCGTTTGGGGCCCAGGGGGCGCAGCCCCCCTCCCCAGCCGCAAACATACCTTTGTACTGGTGACGATGTGGGTCGCCAGCTTCACCACGGCAAAGTTGCCCTTGCCAATCGTCTTCTCCAGCTCGTAGTAGCCGACGCGCACCAACTTGTCCACGGGGAACGCGTTGTCGGACATGATGCGGCTAGTGGGGCCCCGGACACCATAAAAACCGTCCTTTAAGGCCTGTTTGCGCGCTAAATAATCGGCCCTTGCACTGGCGCTCCGCTTCACTCTGACATCGCTGTCACTGTCATTGCTGTCACGTGACGTCAATCCAGCTGCCATCGATTGGCCTTGGGGCGATGTTGTCGCGGTTTTTCCCCAGACATTGAGGTTACCCCCGCCGCAGCGGTGACAGCCTGTGACAGCCACAGTCAACAAACAGCCTCCTCAAAACAAAACATGGATTTATCCAAAGTCCCCAATGAGAAAAAGCTGGCGCTCTGCCGACAGTACTTTAAAGGTGAGTGGCCCCCTTCAAATATCCGGGTAATACCTGCTTTTGGGGCGTTCCAGTGGGCTTCGCACTGTTGCCGCTGGTTTGGGCCGTGAACGCGCTGTGGTTCTTCGGCGAAGCCTTCCGGAAGCCCCCGTTCAGCGAGCAGCGCCAGATTCGCAAATGTAAGTACCTGTCGGGGTCTTGCGGGCACTTTCCTGCACCCGGGGCTGGTTTCAGATGTGGTGTGCTCCGGCTTGGGCGCCCTGCTCTGGCTGCTCGGCGTCGGCGCCTGGGTGGTGGTTTTCCAAGTGAACCGCGCCCGCTGGGGCGCCATGGCCGATCAGCTGTCCTTTATCATCCCGCTGGGGATGCCGTGAGGCCCCTTTTCTGTTGACAGCTAACCTGCAAATTTTCCACTAGTGATGTGCGTCAGCTAGTGCCGGGCCCATTGTTACTTTATTTGATTGATTTCCGGAAAACTGCTCGAAAAAATCCTGGAAAAATTGTTTTTCTCCCAGTTAATCTCGACCCTCCAATGGATCATTGTAGAAGCCAATTTTTTTCATTTTAGCCCAATTGGGGCGTGGCATGGGGCATCATTTTTTAAAATTTTGTCAAAAACTCACCAAAACCTCGGGGAAAACCACAGCAAAGCGCCTTCGCCCGTTTTGAAAACTTTATTGATGCAGCCCACTGTCTAGGGGAGTGGGAAACTCGGGAGTGGGAGGCGGGGATTACAACTAATATCACACGGAAAACGTCCACTAATACTCGGCCATCTAAAACTTAAACTAGAAAAAACCAAGAAACTTATACCCCAGCCTCTAGGGCACCGCCAGGTCTAGAGCAGATCGGGGCTGGAGTTGCGCTGGCACTGTTTGAGGCTTTTGAGGTGCTTCAGCTCCTTGGTGCCGCTGTAGGTGAAGCTGACGTCGCCACAATTGCTGAGCGGGTGGTTGCTGGGGCTGGAGGGCGTCCCGACGCCGCTGTCTACACCGTCAACCGATTAGTGCGTCAATCAGTTAATTACACGCGGATAATTACCAACAGAGTGAGTGGGCGAGACGTCCGCCGACTCGCTGTCGCACTCTTGCACCTTGATGTCGATGCGGCTGCCCAGCGGGCTGTTATGCAACCTAAAAAACACCGAATGAGGTGCGGTCGGTGGCGGAGAGAGGGCCTCACCGTTGCTGCTCCAGGATGTTGCTGTGCGAGCTGGAGAAGAACGGGGATTTCTTCTCGGGGGCGGCGTTTAGGCTGTGGGTGCGCTCCATCGGGTCCAGGCCGGTGGGCAGGCCGATGCGCCCCGTGCTCAGCGATTTGACCATGACGGGGGGCGCGGCCCGGGCCTCCTTCTCCTGCAGCAGGCGCAGCAGGTTGTTCTGGCCGCGCGCCTCGCTCTGATTGCGCTCCGACAGCCGGATCTGCGCCAAGATGCGCCGCACTTCGTCCGGAATCTCCACGTCCATGGCCTGCAACGAATGGGCGCAGTTTCACTAGGGAAATTAGGGCGGGGCTTAACTGGTACAGTACCGTGTCGTCGGCCAATCGGCTGATGAACCCGCCCAGAGTGGCAATGGTGACGTCCARGCCGCGGCTCTGCATCTCCAGCCGATTGAGCTGCGCCTGCTGCAGCACGCGCGTCTTCTCCAGTCGCTGCACGTTGGCTACGGACAGCTCCAGCTGCCCGCTCAGCGACTTGTTCTGCGCCGTCAGCGCGGCGTTCTGCGCCTCCAGCTTGCGCAGCGCCTCCACCTGCGGCTGCACCGACGCCATCTCCTCCTGCAGCACCTGGTACTCCACCTTGTACTCCTCCAGCTGCCGGCCCACATCGGTGGTGTAGATCTGAAACGCGCCAATCAGCGACTCGACACGCCGTAGTGGCACCAATCAGCTTACGGCCTTCGTCAGCTGGTCCAGCACCGGCTTGTCGACGCTGGACAGCTCGGTCTTGAMGTAGGCCATGATTTCCTCGAAGCTGGCGCACGCCAAGATGCGCTCCTTGTGGTGGCTGAGCAGCGCGAGCGCCACCCGGAACACCACGTCCGGTCCTTCGAGGAACACCAAGTCTGGAAAGGGGGCGTGGTTGAGTGGGGGCGAGGCCAGAGCGTGGGGCGCCACCTACCGAAGACGCGCGTCACGAACCCGAGCGGGAACTGCGACGCAAACACCGTCAGGATCCAGGGCGCAGCATAGAGCGTGGGGGCCACCTCGTGTTCGTCCAAGTGCCGGTAGAGGTCGGGCATCTGGTCGTGCAGCAGCCGCGACAGCTGGTAGAGCCGCACCTGCAGCCCCACCATGTCGGGCAGGTACTGCGCCCGCATGCCCCGTCTGAACATCAGGTGGCGCAGCAGCCCGAACGCCTGCGTCTCCTCCATCTGCGCACAGTAGTTTTATCGCCCCCGGCCAGAGCCATCTAGCGGCACTTACATGCAGCAGAAGAACGCCGGCAACGAAGCTCAAGCCTTGACAGTAGCCGACCTCGGGGTCCAAAAGCGAGTAGGCCTTGAGCAGGTTGAAGAGCGCCAATTGGCCAGGCCCGAGCGGGCTGCTGAAGTAGGAGTGGCTTGGGAAGGTGCGGCCCAGATCGATCAGGATGGCGTGCTGGTGGGCGGTCAGCTGGCGCAGCAACTGGTCGTAGGGCGTGTTGTAGCTGGGGAAGCGCTGCGGGTCGGGGGGCGCCGACTTTTTGCAATGTTGCTCGGCCAGGAACTGCCAGACTTCGCCGCGCTTGCCGCGCGGCACGCCTAAAACAACGGCCGTTTTGATTGGGGCCGCCGGCAGCCAATGCGTTACCTTGACGGATGGCCTGCAGGAGCATCGGCTTGTCGCACTTGACGTGCAGCTCCTTATTGGTCAGCATCTCCCACACCTCCATCACCTCGCGCTGGCTCGGCTTCATCTCGTCGTACTCCAGCTTGATGCGCTTCACCGCCGACTCTTCCTGGCGCGCCTTCAGCCGCTCGTTCTCCTTCTCCATGCGAATGAGCAGGATGGCCTGCTTGATGCCGCGCCGCCACAGCTCGCGGGGCGTGCGCGCAGCCGCCGGCTCCGCCTCCATCTCCTGCTGCGCAGCCACCACGCGCTTGAAGATGGCCTGCCGCCACGTGCCGGGCTCCGCCCCCTTGGGGCTGTTGCCCACCTTGCGGAAGCTTCCGGGCAAATTAACCCGCGCTTAAACTGAGTTGAAAACCCAAAACTCACATGTCCATCATGGGCGACTTGGGCGTGGCCGCCCCCTCGATGCTGGAGGCGCGCGAGCGGAAGCCCTCCGGACTGGGCGGGGCGATGGGCAGACTCATCTGGCGCTCATTGGTCGAGGTGCGCCGCTTCAGGAACTGGTCGAACGACTTCTTGGCCTTGCTGAACACGTTGGCGCCGCCCCCCAGGTACTGGTTGAGGAACTCCGTGCTGCAACGGCAGGGAACAGTAGGAGCGGGGCTGGCGCCCCCTATCGGCGGCAACCTTACCGGTTTTCGGCCGTGTCGTGCATGTGCCGCGCCTGCTTGGCTTCGCAGTGGGCGCGCAGCAGCATCATCAGGAACTCGTTCTGCTCGCGCACCGACTCGGCGTCGGCGCCCCTGAACTTGCCCAGCAGCGCCATCTGCTCGTCGGCCTCCAGCTGCTCCAGCCGCCGCAAGATGGCGGCCTGCGTCTTCTTGTCGGGCAGGTGCTCGACGTCGGCGCACAGCCGATGGAACCACACCATCGGGCACTGCTCGCACGACGTCACCAGAGGGCGCGCGCGCGGCTCGCTGTTCAGAAACGCCTGCGTGATGGCTGTGGGCAAAAGGCGCAGACATCAGGGCGGATGCGCGATAAAACTAACTAAGTTATTAGTTTTATATTCAAAGGTAAACGCCGCAATACTGACCTGCGACGGCGTCGCCCGCTATCGAGCTGGACTCGCACTTGAACACGTAGCCGATGTAGGTGGGCATGCGGTTGGGCGCGGTCTCCTGACAGATGAAGCCGAAGTGCTCCGCGCGCGCCACGCCCTGCAGGCAGGTGGTGACGTCCAGGTGCTGCTTGTGCAGCAGAATGACCTTGCGGTCGGGGCTGATCAGGCGCAGGTCGGTGCGGTCCACCTGCAGCACCATGGTGCGGTTGTGGTCGTCCGTGTCGACGGCCGCTTTCAGCTCCTCGGCCAGCTGCAGGTGGCAGGAGGCGGAGCGCTGCACGGGCGGCGTCGGCCCCCCGCTCACGTCCTCCTGAAACCGCGCCCAATTAGCTCACGGGGGCGGCGCCCTAACCACGTGGGTACCATGGAGCCGGGGCGCTGCTGCGCGCTCAGGCGCTGCTTCTCCAGCTCGTGCAGCCGGAACTTTTCGAGCGCGTCGTCCACGAAGGTGTCGGGCACGCGCTTCTGCCACTCCTTGATCTTGCCGATGTAGAGCACCTCGAAGAAGTTGCTCGAGCTGGGCGAGATGGCGACGCAGAGCGACGTCAGCGTGCCGGCGCTGCTGCTCTGGCGCGGCGCCGGCCCCTGGCTCTGCTCCTTCATCTGCCGGTACAAGTCGGTCACCTGCAACACACACAACAGCTTTAATGGGCGCATCCGCCAATGTCGAGAATCAATGATTAATTTAGTGTTGACCCCGCGCAATCGAGGCAAATTGGGCGATAACCGGCGGCCTTTGGCCCCTGGGCGCGCGATAGCGGCCAGTGCGATCAGTGAGAATGACGCGAACGGTGGTGCTGCTGCTGTTGTTGTCGGGCTGGCTGGTGTGGGGCGGCGCCCCCGACGGGGAGCAGAAGCTGAGCGAGACGCTGCTGGCCATCGTCGAGCACTACAAGCAGCGGGACCCGGTGGGCGTGCCCGGGGCGCCGATCCCCGACCCGCTGCCCATCCCCCCCATGAACCACTCGTTCTCCGTGGGCAAGATGAACTTCCGCGACATGCAGCTCTACGGGCTGAAGAAGTTCCGCATCGAGCACGTGACGCTGGACGTGGCGGCGCTGCGCCTGCAGGCCGCCCTCCTGATTGACGTCATGGACGTGCTGGGCAACTACACGCTCAAGTGAGTAGGGCGCCCCCCACCGGCCAAGCGCCTCTAACAGTTCGACCGCAGGACGTGGTTCTCGTCGGCGCAGGGCCCGTTCACGGTCAAGCTGAGCGGCGTGTTCGTGCAAGCGACGGCAACGCTGGAGGTGCTGAACGACGGCCGCCTGGAGGCGCAAGACATCGCGATGGACGTCACCTTCAAGGACATGGCCTTGGACTTTCAAGGCCTCGGCTTCTTCGCCAGCATGTTCCAAGTGAGAATTTACTATTAATTAATGATAATTTTCCTACTGTCGTTGATGATTGATTTGCAGGGCGTGATGAACTCGGTGGGCGCGTTCGTCTTCGACTCGATCAAGCCGTTCGTGCTGAGCGAGGCCAACGCGAACATCCGGCGCGAGGTGAACAAGCAGGCGGCGCGCATGCCGCAGCGCTTCCCCAACTCGATCGCGCCCTGCGACCAGGTGGTGGCGCAGGCGCGCAGCATGGTGCGCGCCCGCGGCTACGACCCCTACCGGGTGAAGGAGCTCAACACCAGCCTCGGCCTGGCCGACGTCCAGTTGACGCACACGTGGCTCTACGGCGCCGCCAGCTTCCACCGCACGCGCGCCCTGGTGGTGGCGATGCGCAACAACACGCTGCACGCCCTCATCGAGGTGGGCACGCAGCGCCTGCTCGGCACCACCCACTGGGAGGTGGCGCTGGTGTCGGGCGTGCTGAGCCGCGCCGGCACCGCCAGCTTCAGCGTCGAGTACCTGCGCGTGCAAGTCAACGCCAGCCAGAGCATGGACACGCGCCAGCGCCCGCGCCTGGACGACCTGCAGCTGCAGCTGGGCAACGTGCAGCTGCGCTTCGACGGCCTGGGCACCGTCGACTACGTGCTCGAGCTGGCCGTCAACGTGCTGCCCAATCTGCTGCGCTACCAGATCATGGACGCCATTGAGCGTCCCCTGCGGCGCAAGATCCAGGCCGAGCTGGACAAGGTGGATGTGGAGCGCCTGATCCAGGAGAACGCCCCGAAGCTGGACGACCCCGACGGCCTCGCCGAACTCACCAACTTGCTCTAGAGCCACCCGAACGGGACTCTTGCTGGCGCATCCGCCATCGTCCAGACACTGCGCAATAAATCACGAGTAAATCAGTCAATTAATCGCAATCCCCCTTCTTCTTCCGCTTTGTGCACCGCTCAAGTGCACTCTTTTCAACCTGGCAACGCATTCGCCATTTGTCGAGAATCGTCCAAGTTCGGGCAAACCGCATCCACCATTGTCCAGAACGCCCCAAGGCTTTTACACTGATTCCGCTTAATTTGCGTGGTTTTCCACACAGCAGTGGCGGCACTTACTCAGTCGGCGTGAATTCGCAGCTGCAACGTCTATTTTCGGTTCGGTCTGTGTTTGTGTGGCGACGCCACTGGGTCTCGCACGCGGCGCCCCGCTCGGCCCGATTTAGCCCGCGGGACTTTGCACTGTGCTGCCAATGAATTAGCGCCCGACGTCACACGACGTCACGTAGCGGCGTGGGGCTGCGCCCCCCGTTGGGCAAACAGCGCGCGACACAAAGCAGCGGAAATGGGGCTCAGCGACATCCGGCCCAGCTGGATGCGACGCTTCTACTGAGCTCTGTAGCTGGTTGCTGGCCGGGCGCTGATTCGCCGGTTAATTTTAACCGACTTTAGTAGGCGGGCAGGTGTCAGCACAGCGTCGTCCTAGACACAGTGACCCACATGGGGCGGTTATCGGTGACCTTTGGCGCTTTTTCGGCGCCACTGATAAGCGACTGGCGCGATTTCGGCTCAGTTGTGCTACCGCCGAACCGGACTGACGACAATGTACGTGCTGCTGATTCTGCTCGGCTGCGCCCCTGGCCTGGGGGCCACGCCCCCCCAGCCCACGGTCTACAACCGGCTGACGCAAGAGGCGCAGTTCCAGGGCTTCGCCGGCCTGGTGCACTACAACCGGGCGGCGCGGCTCGCCCTCCTGCAAAACCGCATCACCGTGTTCGCGCCGGTGAGTCCCCAGCGCACGCTCCTGCGCAGCTAACCACGCCCCTTTCAGAGCAACGAGGCGTTTGCGCAGTACGGGCGGCCGCTGCACTCGGACCTGGCCTGGTACCACATGGCGGGTGGGGTGTGGACGCTGCGCGACCTGCAGAGCGCGCGCAACCTGACGGCCGGCGCCGCCCACCTGCCCCCACTCTGGCTCACTGCCACCAATCGCGCCCTCTACATCAACAACGCGCGCGTCGTCGCCGCCCACTCGGACTACCTGGGGAACGCGCACGCGCAGCAGCAGGCGCTGCATGTGATCGACCGCGTGCTGGACCCGATGCACCTGCGCCCCGGCGCCCCCATGCGCGCCTTCGACTGGCTGCGCCTGGCGCGCCCCTCCGCCGCCATCTTCCTGCACAGGCTCAAAGAGCTGCGGCTGGAGCACCTGCTGCAGCTGGAGGGCGCCAACACCTACTTTATTCCGGTAGGAGGAGGGGGGCACACTGGGCACTAACTAATCGAAAAACTCTCTAATCGAAACTGACAATCGTCGGCAGGCGGACGACGGGTTCGACCCCGCCCAGTTCCACGCCCTCGACAAGAGCGCCATCTTTGGGCACTTGGTGCCGGGCGAGGTTCTGTTCACGCGACCCGCCATGCGCAGCCTCAATCACGAAACGATGGCCAACAGTGGCGACGTCTACCGCGTGGTGTCGTTCGAGGACAAAGGTGGGGCGCCATCCAGCGGCGGTTTGTGATCTATTTGTCGAATCCGAGCAGGCGGGCAGCTGATGGTGAGGCAGCGCAGTCTGGCGGGCGCGCACAGGGGCGACACCTGGGCGCCCGTCCTGCAAGCCGACCTGCCCGTGGCCAACGGCGTGCTGCACCTGATTGGGCGGCCCCTGGGGCTTCGCCCCGCCCCCCGACCCTTCCCGTTCCTGCCCATTCTGCTCAAACTAGCCGGCGATCCGCAGCTGGCAACCGTGTACGAAGCCGGCGAGTCCACAGGTCCCTGCGTGTTTGAACCGGCATTTTGCCCTGATT